CCTGTCGCATTTGTGGTGGTGACTGTGAGATTCTTGAACACAAGCGAAGGGCCGTCCCCCCCCCCCCCCCCCCCGATTTGAAAAACCGCGTAAAGAAAAGAGAAAAGTGTTAGAAAGAAAACAAAAGAAGGAAAACAATACAGTGAAGACAAAAGGAAAGCAGAAAACTTACCCGAAAGCCGTGAAGTGTAATCCAGTATCCCGTAAAAGGACCCGAAAAGCCCTTTTGCTGAAGGATAATACGACCCGTCACTATAGTGACACAAATTTTTTTTTACAACTGAAACAAAAAAAAAAAATTATTATTTTTTTTTTTTTTTTTTTTAAACACAAAAAAATTTTTTAATAAATAAAAAAAAAACCATAAATTAATTACATAATTATTGGTCATAATTACATAATTAATCGGTCATAGAAAAAAATAACCGATTTATTACTTACAAAGTAATAAAAAGTTTAAAGTAAACTGTAACGAACCCTATAATAGGATCGACAAACAGACTTCAAATTAACAAACAAACTTTTTTTTTTGAAACAAACATTTTTGAAACAAACAATTTTTTTTTTTTTACTTACCATAAGTTACATAATTATTGCACAATTAACCAGTCATAGATAAAATAAACGATTTATTACTCACAAAGTAATAAAAAGTTTAAAATAAACTGTGACGAACCCTATAATAGGATCGACAAACAAACTTCAAATTAACAATCAATAGTTACCTCATTTTTTTTGTTATTTTAAAATAGTATAATAAAAAAAAAAAAAAAAAAAAAAATTCTTTTTTTTACATAAATAAACTTTTAAATTTTTAGAAAAAAAAAAAAAAGAAAAAGCAAAATGGATAACTTACTTAATATCTCGATAAGTGAAGATAACCAAGCCGAACAAAATGAAACCACCACGCAAGTGAACCAAGACCAAGTCAATATCAACTTGAAGAAAATCGCCAACACCTTTCGTGACGCAACCTTAGGAGCCGTTAACGACGCATGACCTGAACGGGAAAATAATTGGGTTAGAGTTAGGACCTTCTATGGAGATGACGATGAGGATCCCTACAAGTGGGGGAAGCTTTTGAACGAGCTGCCGATACTAATAACTGAGTCGCAAGAAGAAAAATCAGAATTGCATCTGGATACCTTGCTAGAATGGCCGCAGACTGGTTCCACGATAATAAGGAGGCGATATATTATTGGGATGAAGAATATGATCAAGATGGAAGCTTCGTCCCTGCTTTTTTAAAGCACTTTGCAACCCCTGAACAGAAACATCAATGGCAAGTTGAACTGACCTCCCTAACACAGAAAGAAGGTGAACGTGTGAGAACGTATGCTTACAAATTTAAGAAGCTGGTGAAAAGGGTTGCACCAGGAAAAGCCCTGCCCAAAGAATACGTCATCAGAATGTTTATTGGAGGTTTGCAAGGGAAAATTGCCTCATTAGTGTTGGTAAAAGACCCCGAAACTCTGGATGAAGCAATCTCTGCCACCAAAAAGATTGAAGCTGGAAGCTACTATGGAAACGTGGCCGTAGAAAGAAAAAGGAAAGGTGACGATAAGTGGGAAGGTGATATGAATGAGTTGGCACAACAGATTCAAAACATGACAACTAATTATACCAAACTCACGGCCCTATTAACCACCCAAACTGAAGTTAATAAGTCACGTCCAAGACCACCCACAAGAGCAAATGTGTCAGTCACGTGTTATTGGTGTGGTGAAAAAGGCCACTATGCAAGGGAATGTTTGACGGAAAGGGAAACCCCAGTTCCTCATGAAAGAAGACCCACCCAACCTATCCAAGTGTTGAGGCATGAAGTTGAAGCCAATTATGGCAGTATTGATGATGGCTATGATAATGAAGGGGAAAAGGAAATTTTTGTTACCGGTGAAAGGTATTACCTCTATAGTCGTAGGAATAAAGATCGCCCCCGAATTCTGAATCACAATGGGAAGGTCAGTTAAGAAGTAGGAATAATGTTAACAACCAACCAAGGGAAACCAAGGAAACCTACCCTTTAATTGATGATGAAGACTTAATGCAATATAATGACAACACTCCTCCCACTAGAGCCCCCAGAAGAAAATGAGGCCCATCGATAATCGACTCACTTGCTCCATACAACGTGGCTGATGACATATTAACTAAACTTGCAAGTGCCACGGTCGGGCAAATGCTACAGTACCCCACACAACGTAGAAACCTGGCAAAAGCCCTTCGAAGTCCCCCATTGTGGAAGAGACCAATTATGTCGATGCTGGTGAAAAAAGAACAACCACAACACGGTGTCACGTGAGGATCGGAAATAACCCCATAGTTGCAATTTTAGATTCAGGAGCTGCTGCAAGTTTTATTACTAAAAGATTAATGAATAAACTTGGCCTAAAAATTGAAGAAAGGTCTACTACAGTTATAGTAACCGCTACAGGTGTTAGGACAAGAACATTAGAAAAAATCAAAAGTGCCAAAATTGCTGTTCAAGACATGTACATCCCCAGCCCACTTCAAGTAATTGATTCGGTTGATGAAACCCTGTTGTTGGGTAATGACTGGTTTGAAAGGGCTCGAGCCCGTATACACTTCGACGAACAAAAACTGATCTTAAGGTATTTGGGAAGAGTCATCGAAGTGCCGATTTCTAATAATGGATCGAAGAAGTTGCACCAACCTGGTGGAAAAGTTGAAATTAAGGACCTCTACGACGATGAAGACAACTTGTTCGACTGCTTGATCTATGAAGATGAAGAAGTAGAAGAAACTGAAGGTTATTTTACTGAAGAGTTGATGAGTAAAGAGGACGCTGAGCTCTATTCCAACCCGTGGCAAGACGTACAAAGCCCTGCAGCATACCTGTCCCATGTTGAAGAACTATCCACGACCCATGTAGAACCCAAGGTGGACGATCTGAAGGAGAAAGTTGAGAAAATGTGTGTTAACGAAGAATTAGACGCTGAACAACAGAAGGAAGCAAAAAAACTATTGAAAAGAGAAAAAGATATCTTTGCACAAACCGTCGACGAACTTGGATGCACCAATCACACCCATCACGTGATCGATACAGGTGACATCACCCCCATTAAGCAAAATCCATATAGGGCTGCTCCTAGTATTAAAGATTTTATTAAAAGTGAAATAACCCAGTTAAAAAAAAGAGGGTTAATTCGTGAGTCGCAAAGCCCGTGGTTCTCTCCAGTCGTCGTGGTTCCCAAAAAGGGCGGGAAACTGCACCTGTGCATTGATTACCGTAAATTAAATATGGTAACAAAAAAGTATTCGTACCCTCTGCCGCAAGTGGATAATCTTTTGGAAACCTTCTCTTCAGCAAGGTGGTTCAGTACATTGGACCTATTAAGTGGCTACTGGCAATTACCCGGCAATAAGAGTAATAAGGAAAAAACAGCGTTTGTCACCACCTTTGGGACATACGAATTCAACGTTATGCCCTTCTGGCTGTGTAATGCCCCTGCCAGTTTTCAGCGATTAATGGACAAGATTCTGGCCGACCATATTGGAAAGTTCGTCGTTGTGTACCTGGACGATATAAATATTTATTCGGAAACTTTCTATGATCATTTAAGCCATATTAATATCGTCTTTACTAAACTAAAGGAAGCAGGTTTAAAATTAGATTTTGAAAAGTGTACCTTCTTTCGTCCAAACATCCACTTTCTAGGTCATGTTGTAGGACGGGATAGGATCAAGCCCGACGAAGCAAAAATTGAGAAAGTAAAGAACTTCCCGATCCCAACCAACTTGCGCAAACTCTGTGGTTTTATTGGGCTGGCATCATACTACTGATGATTTATTAAAGGTTTTGCCACCATCGCTTGCCTATTACATCATTTACTAAAGAAAGACGTTAAGTATAAATGGCAAAAAGAACAAAACCAGGCATTCGAAACCCTAAAATGTCACCTGATCACTGCCCCCATCCTACGATATCCCGACTTTACAAAGACATTCTACATGCACACTGACACCTCTGGTTCTGGACTAGGTGCAGTACTTGCACAAAAGGATGATGACAGAAAAGAGTTCATGGTGTCATATGCAAGTAAAGGGTTGACACCACCCGAACGGAACTATGCTGCTACGGAATTGGAATGTTTGGCTGTACTATGGGCAGTAGAACATTTCCACCATTACTACGAGTTGAATCCTTTTGTGGTAGTAACCGACCATAGCGCACTAAAATGGTTAAAGACTTCAAAACTTACTGGAAGGTGTGCAAGGTGGATGCTTCATTTGCAGCCTTACGACTTTACCATCCAACATCGAAGTGGTCGAAAACATAATAACGCGGATGCGTTATCTCGAATCTAATCTTCCCTAGAAAAAAAAAAAAAAAAAGATAATATAAATAAATAAATAAAAAAAAAAAAAAAAAACAATAAAAAGAAATTCTTATACTTCCCCATAAATCTGAGGTACAGAATCCGGTCCAGGTTCCGGTGTCCTGGCAAACCCGTTAACAAGAGAACATATATATAGTAATAAGTAAATAGCTCGATCGCACTGACCAAACAATCAAATGAAGCCCACCCACTATAACCAACTCAAGACATACGTTCAAACCCGCAAACTTTCATCCATCCTTGACCCTAAAGAGAGACAAAAATTGCAAAAGAAAAGTGAATTTTTTGTATTTAATAATGGCATCCTGTACAAAAAAGACAGAAGAAAGAAAGGTCACCTGCTCCACGTGATCCAGAAGCATGAGTTAGAGCCCATCTTATTTTTAACACACCAACACCCGTTAGGGGGCCACTTCAACAAAGTTATAATGTTTAACAAAATAAGGAACACCTATTTTTGGCCCCAAATGTACACCGACATTCGAAGCTACGTCCAGAGCTGTGATAGATGCCAACGTAGAGGAAAGACACGAATACACGGCCCATTACAACCCATCCCAGTGACTGCGCCCTTTCACCAAATCGGTATCGACTTTGTAGGACCACTTCCACAAACACCAAGGTTAAAACGGTACATTATTGTTGCTGTGGATTACATGACAAAGTGGCCCGAAGCGATGGCTGTGGAAAAAGCAGATGCTGTGACAGTTGCAGATTTCTTGTACAACGAAATTACGTGTCGACATGGCTGTCCTGGGTACATACTGTCTGATCATGGTACCCATTTTAATAATAACGTTATCAAGGAGTTCATGAGCAAATTTACAGTCAAACACAAGTTATCAACACCCTACCACCCACAGACCAATGGGTTGGTAGAACGGTTTAATCGTACCTTACGTGAAGCCATAGCTAAACTTGTTGAAAATGTGCTGGACTGGGATCTGCTTATTCCTTCCATCCTCTTCGCCTATCGCACTGCTAAGAATTCCTCCACAAAAATGACTCCATTCTACCTTGTATACGGCTGAGAAGCTCGACAGCCCATCCACCCAAGTAATGAAGGAGAATTATTAGAAGGAACCATCCTCCAGCGAACTTATGAACTAATAGAGCACCTTCCCCAAATAAGAAGTATTGCATTGGATAACATTCGGCAGGCTCAAGAACGACAAAAACAATATCATGATACTCACCGGAAATTGGCCCCCGAATTCGACATTGGCGACAAGGTGTTGATGTATAAGGCCTTGATGGAATATTCTCGAAGTAGTAAATTCGAACCGAAATGGTTAGGCCCGTATTATGTGCATGATCGACTCCCAAACAACGTCTACAAGCTGCGAACGATCGACAGGAAAGTGCTGGCTACCCCTATTAACGTTAAGATCTTAAAAAGCTATTACAGTAATTAAAAAAAAAAAAAAAAAAAAAAAATCTTTTTCTTTAGTAAGTAATAATAATATACGTACCATAATTGCTGCACTAAGACCTTTGGCACTAAAAGAAAGCTGACTTCAACGACGAAACGACAAGAAAGCCGCAAGCAATTGAGGAACCCCAACCCGAACAGCAAGAAGACTCAAGGTAGCATGGCCACTCTCCCTTTATATATCAAGAGCCACCATCACGGGGATGATCAAGCAATAAAATAACCGCCAGACATCTAATGCGTGGTACGCATAAGATAAGCACCGGGGAAAACATAAATATGAATTATTGTTAAATAATATTACATAATTTTTTGTCTTGTATTTGTGACAAGTAGCTTTCCAAATTTCAAAAATAAATGAAATTGATTTCTGCAGATGAGATTAGTTTTTTTTAATTAAAATAATAGGTGTATTAATAACATCTTCAACAAAAAGATTATGAATATCAATTGTATCAGATTCAGTTAAATTAGATTGTTTAGTTAAGTCAGATTGTTCAATTAAATTAAATTGCTCAGTTGAGCCAAATTGTTCAATCAAATCAAATTGCAATCTGAAATCTTGAAAATTAACAAGTCTTGGTATATACTACATGGCTTGTGCAATTTCTTGCTATTGAATAGATAGTAAAGATAGTGTCAAGTAAGTAGCAATTTATTTGTCGATTTTAGGTAAAATATTTAGAACTGGCATGATTAAGTGTAAATCCTATAATAGAATGGATCCAGTTTTTGTAATGAATAAAAGTAGATGTGCTATCAATCTGCTAATCAATATATTTTATAAGATTAATTAAAGATGTGTTACTATTAATAAAATTTTTTATAATAGAATTTTGACTCTTTACTCTTTGTGTTAACTGCATCCTAGCAGTAAATATTTTAGAGGTATAACAGAGGGCCCATTGTTTCTTTTTACTAAAAGAGCATGATTAAGATAAGGAGCAGAATCAGGAAATTTTATTAAAAACTTGTCTCATAAATAGTTGAATTGTTGAAATAATAGCAAATTGCATATTTGGTACCAATTCTTAGAAAATTCATTGTACTGTTCACCCAGTTTTGCCTTCAAATTTTTTATTAGGTTTTGTCCAATATAGTATATATAATGAACATGATATGTATTGAACAAAATATTAGCAATTGCAACATTAATAGCAAGATTATTATCAGTTATAATTGTTAAAAGTTCTGCTTTTGTATTCATAATTAGAGTTTGAAAAATCTATTTATAGCTTTTAGCTGTTTTATCATCAATAAGAGCTTGTTCTACTAACCTAAACCAATTGTTATTATCTATAATAACAAAAAAACTTAATGACATTTTAAACTGATTTGTTAAATATGTATTGTTATATTAGATAACATTCTAATATCGTAAATACAAGTCATGCTAATCAGGTGACATCCAAAATAAAGAAATAAAGAAATTATTTGCAGAATTAACTTTCCAATTAATAACCTATCTATTGTCATTAGATTTATATTCAAAAAGGTGATTAAGCAAATAGCAGCTTCATGTTCAACATGAGTTTGTTTTTTGAAAGTTTAAATGCTATTAGAAAGGTCTTAAGACAAAAAAAAGTATCAGGATATTGTTTTATTAATATTCAGTATTGAGTTCTCATGTTCAGATTACCAATCTCTGTCTAAAACTTAATACTCTTAACATATTATCAGAAAATGTTCAATATTTAGAAGCAAACTTATTTGTTTCATCTTTTAGTAGATAGTCATTATGTTTCAAATAAAGAGAACTTATACTTAATATACCAGTTGTTTTAGAACAACTTGCACAAATCTGCAATGGCATCCAGTATGTTTACTTTGGGCTTGTTGCTAATTCTCGACAATACTTTTTTTATTTTTTATAACACTATGATTTTGATACTTACAAGCATATCAGCAGCTTCAACAAACTCTATTCTTGTATTCTGAACCATTGTTACAGAGTTGTAGCCTTCTTAGTACAATACAACCAAGTAACAAGGTCACTCAGTATAGTGATTGACTATTGCAAATATAT